ATATTATACAATGCTAACAATGTGACTCTTGTAGCCCTAGCTAGGCAAGGCATCCATGTGCAAAGCAGTGGTGTTTGTTTGTCCATGAAAAAAACAAGTTTGCCTTACCAGGAAAAGGTGACGTAATCTAGCTTATGACGTATGCACGCTAACTATAGTGAGTGTGACGTCACCAAAAAATAAAAATTTTCTATTATAACCAAAATATTAATAACCACAAGGTTTGTGGGCGTGAATTCCCTTAATACGAATTAAGGGTAGCACCATCTCCTTGCCATACAAATAACAGATCCCGCTGACGTCCCAGTCGAGAAATACGGGTAGCTGAAGTTTTTCTCGCAAATCTGACTACGAAACCATATCGAAATTTCACGTCCCACTTCTGACTATGAGTTTTGCTTCGCACACGCCGCTGAGAGTGGCGTTCTGGGAACCCTGCGTCTAGTAGTACTTGTAGTAGTACTATTATAACCCCAGGGGGCTCACTCTTAAATATTTCACTCACTCTTAAATATTTTCTTATTTATATCTCATTTTAGATTAAATATTTAAGTAATTGGATTGTAATATTTGTTAATTTTGATGACCTTGTATATCTTTATTCAATAATTTATTTTATAGTTTAATTGGATTGTGAATTAAATATTTATATAAGATAAATTTCTTTTTTTGTATTGTTGCAACCTTTGGTGTAATTTTTTCTGATATTTATATGTATATACATATAAATATGTATTTATTTGTAAACCAACGATTTCAGCCTACGGGCTGCCTGTTTTGGTGTTATATTTTTATACTGTGAATAAATAAAAAATAAATAAACAATTTCTATACAGGGAGGTGCCGCATTTACGGAGTATATTTTTGAGGACTTGGTAGAACAAGAATTATGGGGGAAGTTGCAGGGTATACTTGCGAGGATTTTGTAGCACAAATGTGGGAAATAACTGGGGTGAAATTGGTAGTTAAAGTCCCTGGCCTATCCTGTGTCAAAGTGACACAATTTTCCGCACGATGTTAACAGGAATTTCAAGCTAAACTGGGTGCTAATTCAGTAAGCCCCTTGCTAAGCCACCTTTGGTACAGCCACGAGGGATTGCGACCAGACTTTTTTCCATCGGGAACCAGTCAGTATTGCACCCTCTCTGGCACTATTGGGTGGCCTTTTTCCTGTCGTCTTTTAGAGCACAGTGCAATTTTGGTTATAGTTCAAGTCCATAAAAATTTTCAGTAAAATAGGTAGCGCAAGTGTCTCATGTCTTGAAGTGGCTGCGGCACCCCCTGTTTGGTTGGTATGCAAGTGAGCTCCATGGGAATATAACATACCAACACGCTCTTTTGCTCATTAATAGAGGCGGGTATATAAGTATGTCGATTTTTAAACCACATAGCACCAGGGCGGCCTCTACTTCGGCTGGTCTGAGACTGAACGTACCCAGGTACATACTAAAAACTGCAGGATGGTCGACCATGAGCATGTTTGCAAGATTTTACAATAAATCTTTATAATATGGCTCTCAGAAGTTAGTGATTCACACTGTTATTTAGAGTTTATTACTGTGTTGTGAGTGTTAAAGAATTCGATCCAACTCGGCCACAAGTCAACTCGACCACAGTCAACTCGGCCACAAGTTAACTCGGCCACAAGTCAACTCGGCCACAACAAATTTTGCTATAGTCAACTCGGCCACAAGTCAACTCGGCCACAAATCAACTCGGCCACAAGTCAACTCGGCCACAAGTCATTTACTGGTACTGTACATTGTACTAATTGTTATTATTATTGCTGTTATTATTGTTGTCATTGTTGTTATTACTATTGTTGTTTTTATTACCGTTAGTTTTAATATTAATTATTAGTCTTAGCATTAACATTATATATTGTTCAAATTTTTGCTGATATTATTATTATTAAAGTACCATATAAATAATAAATAATTTTCGATTTATTATTATTATTATTCATATAATTATTATTATTTATTAGTCTTAGTATTATAATTTTAATAACAGTATTTAAAAAGTTGTTGTTATTGGAGTTTTATTAGTATTTTTCTCATATTATTATTATTAATATTATTGTTGTTGTTGTCACCTTTATTATAGATATTATTACCCTATTATTACTAAGTAGGCCTAGTATTATAAGTATCATTATTATAATTATTATTACTACTAATTAGTATTACTATTATTATAAAAATAAACATTATCTTTAATTTATTATTGTTGTATTATTGCTATTATCACCTTCAATATCGTTATTATCACTAATTAGTTATTAAAATTGATATTAAATATCGCTATTATTACCATACATTACCATTATCGTCATAATGACTAATTAGTATTATTAACGTAAATATTACTAATTTATCGTCGTTATTGTTGTTTAATATTATTGTTGAAGTAGAATGAAGATGAACACATTAATAAATAACTCTTTTTAATTCATAGGCAATAGCATTCAAATCTCTTTTGGTAGTGTGGTGGTCCTGTTTTACTAAAACATACTGTGTACTTTATTTCAATCATATATTGAAGAAAAAGGATGTAAAAACTTAGATTTACATTAAATAACTTGTGGCCGAGATGACTTGTGGCCGAGTTGATTTGTGGCCGAGTTGACTTGTGGCCGAGTTGACTTGTGGCCGAGTTGGCTGTAGCCGAACTTTTTGTGGTCGAGTTGATTTAAGAGTTAAAAGTTGGATTGTTTTCTGTTTATATCCTTGATTTGGTGTGACTATTCGAAAGAAGGTGGTTTCGGAAACACTCTTTTGAACGTTTCTTCTCTTCGCCCCCTTGACCACACCGTGGCTAAAGCTGGCTACGGGCCTGGCTGGTATGTCTAGTAAGTAGTACTATAATATAGGCCTAGCATACCAACAATACAAGCTGCTTTTTTGCCTTCATCCTTCAGTGGATAGATTATAAGATAACGGCTGCAAAAGTAAATTATTAGTAAAAATGTTATAATGTACATTACCTTGGTGTCGCAACTTGAAACTAGTACTGATACACTGATAGCCACGCCAGAGGCGTTTTGTACAGAGACAGACAAAAAAAACAAGACAAGAAAGCACTTGGTCCTGCTACCTACTAAGTACTGTACTACACTTGTTGACTTGAAAATAACCAATCTTGGGAATTCCCATACAGTATTATCATATCTAAAAATAGATTTCCTATTTAAAACACTTCACAGCTGCAAATACCTGTCAACCTTACGAAATTTCAAAGAGTAAGGAGCAGCGTGACCACTGCTTGGGTATTTACCCAAGATCTTGGGTATTTTGACTTGGTCTTGGGTTCTTGGGTATTCCGTTCAAATCCTTGGGTATTTTATTTTTATTAAGAAAATTTAATATTTTTGTCATAGAGGAAGAATTAAGAAGTAACAAAGTATATTTC